GGAGTACGCGGCAACTGCGATGTCAGGGTAAAGACGCACAATACAAGTGGACTGACCCTCGTAAAAAGAATGCTTCGTCTTATTCTTAGCTTTGGTTGTTAGATCATAATGACTAGAGTTGTCGACTAACATTAGACTGCTCTTTAATTAGTCTACATTATACTAATGCTAAATGATGACTGGTTCTGTTAGGATCGGTTTCTATATTAAGACGCCAGGGGAGTTTTGTGACCAGACTCAGCAGGCTTTGTTCAATTGCTATGTCTCTTTCTCCCGACCATTAAATTGAAGTCGTCAGTTGAGGGAGTGGCCGGGGGAGGTGCTGGAGGGAATGCTGCAGGGCTCGGCGCCTGCAAAGCCCCTCCTTGCAGCCTCGGAGCTGCAGGACCCACGAGCAACAAGTGGCGGAGGACAGCGAGAGCTCAGCCCCCACCTGCAGAGCCCTGGGCCCGGGCCGGCGCAGCGCGGGAGCCGCCGTGCGGCTCCGGGCGCCGCTCCCGGGGCGCCGCTGCGCTCGGGCTGTGCCTTTTGTTTACACGCTAGAGGACACACAGTTACGTAAACACCGCAGGAGCCGCGCTGAATGAAATGGGGATGCCTGGGGGTGCTAGCTTGGGTTTGGGGGATGCCGGGTTGGTTGTTTCCTCCCCAGCACAGGCTTGCGAGGGAGCTCTGTTCGGGGAGCACATTGGGGACGTATCGGGGTGGGAATCTGGCAAGCAGCTTCAGTTCCCGAGCCGAGGGTTTTTTCTTCCATGCCACGGTCTGTCTCTCCGGATGTTGTTTATGTGTTTTTTTCCCCCCGTGAATTCTTAATTTATGAGTTACGAGATAATTGGGTTCAGCCGATGCCGGTGTGGTTACAACTTCATTTCGGGTAATGTCTCCGACTGGATGGGTTCAATAAAATGTTCCCGAAAGAGAGTCTCCGTGCTGCTGCATTGTAAAAAGCGCCAGTGTCAGTTAAACGTGAGCGTGAGTAAAGGCTGGGAAACTGGCGCATAATAGAGGCAACAATAGACTTGTATTGGCTGCAAAAAAGGGGGAGGGGGAAAGCGCTGGTCGGGAATATCGCCTTTTGACAAAAAAATGGGAGCCGAGCAGTGCCGCTTGGCAGCAGAGCAGGATGAGATGCTACCCCCTCCGTCAAGCCTGCTCATTGAAGGCGCCGAGTAGTAACAACACCACTATATTTGTCACTATCTCGCGGCAAGAAAGAAGTTGCCTTCCTAGCGAGGGATATGTGCTGACTTGGAAAGGAGCGGTCTGGAACTCAGCCGTGCATGTCAGAGCTACAAGAAAATTCTGTTGCCAGTTACCATGGAAGCAGCTTCTTGCTCCTGTGTACCTCTCTGTTTATATTTTGGTTATCAGATTGTGTTCACATTAGAAAGTAATTGGGTTTGATTTGTAGTGAGGAGGTAGATGGTTTTCAAATCCCTTTTTTTTTTAAATGCCTTTGTGTGTGCGTGTGCGTGTGGTCAGTTTGAGGAGGGGTCTGGGTCCTAGGCTACCAGGGAAGATTTCAGCTGGCCACCCGTGACTTTTCTTCCTCAGTCCTCTGAGTTGCAGCTTTCTCGGAGGCCTCCAGTCCCACTCCCAGGATTAGAGAAACCTGTTGGAGCCGTCTTCTAACTTCATTAGCCTTGTTTCATTGACATCCTTGCCGGGATAGCAATCGAGGGCCATTGTGCAGTAGCTCCTGGTTATGTCTCCCCTGTAACCCAATCCACCCTCCTTTGGAGACAATCTCCCAGCCCTCCTGTGGTGTTTGGATGTTAATGAAATGCAGCTAAAATGGGGTTTTCTGAGCTCATGCCAGTGTAAATCATGCCTGTTCGGTGTTAGCTGCATGATGTTGTTTCTGATCCTGAGCAGACCAGTGGTTGGTCACCCTCCTCTTACCTTTTGCAGCATCCCAGAGGGTGGCTGATGGGTGGGGCTCTGGTGGCGCTGGCAAGCCCAGAGGCCGAGTTTTGCTTCTTGTGGCCTGTTGGGGCTTGAATACCAGGATCGGGACTTTGCAGAAGTGCCGCCCTGCTATTGTTGCCTTTCCGTGCATCAAATTGAATAGCCACAGGAGGGACTCGCACTTGTCTGAGATAGCTTTGATAAAATATCCCTCATTAATGCCACTTTATATTTACAGTGTGTCACTGGAGACGCACAAGGCTTCATTTAGTGACTTGTGTGACGAGACAAGCTTGCATTATTTGCCTGGGACGTTTTGGAGGAACAAGAGACCCATTGAGCAATCTTTTGAAATGAACAAATACGGAAAAAGGGGGGAATAAAAGAGGAGGCAGTTCCCTGGAACAAGAGCTTTATTCATATGGATGTTGTACATGCTCTCTCCCGTTTTCTCCAATGGCCCTCCTGGTGCAGGGGAGCGGGACCTGGAAGAAGCCAGCAGGCGGGACACTTTCGCATCCTCTCTCACTCCCTGACTTCACATTCTTATCCGAGTGGGTCCTCAGCTCCCCAACTGTTCATCTCGCTCCACACCCTCACACACCTCAACAGGTAACAGCTTTCCTGGGTCTAACGGAGATTTTGAAATCCTTCCCAGCTGTGAGTTTCAACAGAAGCAAATGCTAGCTCCCCGCTGAGGCCGATGGTTGTCGGAGGATATATTGGTGGAAAGGAAAGAGATGTCACCTTTCTATGACATGTGTCAAGAAGGGGGTTGATAGGAAGTGTCCGACTGGAAAGATGTCTTGCAATTATAATACTAGTCTGACTATTTTCAAAGAAATGTGTGAAAACCAAAATCCAAAATTCGATGGTGCTCTTGAAGTTTGCAGTGCCTTCTGCCCCCACTCGCTACATTTTGGCCGCCTACATATGTGAATTCTTATTCCTTGGCTTATGTTGCTTAAGATTTTCAGACTTTAGAAAATTGATATTATTGCTGTGAATATAAACTGTCTTATCCCCTGGGTTTCTGTATGTGCTAATCAGTCACTTAGAATTTACATTTTAAAAATGGTGTGTGTGTGTGTATGTGTGTGTGTGTGTGTATGTGTATGTGTGTATGTGTGTGTGTTTAATAAAAGGCCCATTTTTACCTGAGTGACCTTCTTAAATTGAGCCAAACTAATCGATGCTATGATTTGAAGAGAAATTTACCAGCATATGAAGAAATGTATAAAAAATAAATCCCAAGTATTCAAATGCCGTGTCTCCTTCTTGGGAAGAATAGTACTGACCATTATGCTGGGCTTTTTAAACTGAAAATCCAGCACAGAAAGGAGAAACCACACAGCGACATCTGTTGCAGAATTGAAAATTTGCTGCTTTGAGTTGGAAGCAATTAGTTCCGTTCAAGCACCTAATGGTATCAATTATTGTGTGTGTGTGTGTGTGTGCGCGCGCACTCATACAAATATGTATATATACACACATATGTACATATATGCACACGGAGAAACTCACCCAATACAATATGCATATTCACCTTTTAAAAGTATTTAATAGAAAATGTTCACTTTAGCACCAGAGCTTTTTTTCTTAATGTCACCTGTTGGGGAATTTGAGATTTTTGTGATCCTGGCATTTTTGAAAGGGGAAGGACATTATTAGAAATCATCTGGTGAAATCTCATTACTTTGCAGTGAGGCAGCCGCAGCCCAGAGCGGGCAGGAGCTTGCTTACCATTGACCTGGGGAGCGGGTTCCCTTGAGGTCCAGCCAATGGACCTTCTCTTCCACCTTCCAGCAGGGATGCCCAGAGAGGGATGTGGATCATGGAGAGACAGTATCTTGGCTGGGAATAGTTTGTATTCTGAAGGCAGCACGATTTATTGCTGTTTTAAGTAATAAACCCATGGATCAGAGGAGTGACCTCTGGGAAGAAAGGCCCAGTTCTTGGTAAGGTTGTCTTTGGTGTTGACAAATGATTCCGAAACCTCTGGACTTGA